GTTGGCCTTGGTTGTATTCTATATGTGCTATATGTGTTATATCTTCTCTATCTTCTATATCTTTCATGTCTGTCTCGTCAATTGGGACATTGGGACTGAGTTAGGGCGGAATTGGCGTTGGTTGGAGAGCGCACTATTTCCGCTCGGGTATTTGGTGTGCGGAATTGGGATATATAGTCAGTCAGGTATATATATAACTAGTCAAGGATGATGATGGGTATTCTAGGTATATTATAGTTATAGGTATCTAGGATGGATATTGAAGTACCGAGGAAACTTATTAGCTTCACTTATGATACTCCGAAGATTAACTAAACTCCCTAGATCGGATATAACATGGCGCTTCTCCCAATTCAATAATTCCACGCTCTAAGATCCCCAAAGCAACCACTAATGGTCACAGGTTCCCACGGAGAGCCTGCTCCCTTTCAAAAGCCTGGAACAAACTCTTGAAATTCCCAGCCCCAAACCCATCAAACGAATTCCGCTGAATGACCTCTATAAACACCGTCGGTCTATCCCCGACATGCTTGGAGAAGATCTGAAGCAGGTATCCACGCTCGTCAAAATCAACCAAGATATTCAGCCGCTCGAGCACGTCTATATCCGCTCCAAGTGTCCAGGACACTTGTGTCAGGCGTTTCCGCAGATCCGCATAGTATGTAGCTGGTACGCTGAGGAACTGGACACCGCGCGCTTGGAGCCCCGTTACGGCAGCGACGATGTCATATGTCCGGAAGGCTATATGCTGCACTCCGGCTCCGTGGTAATAGTCGACGAATCTGCGGGGGTTAGAGGGGTTGGTATGTAGGGGGAGTAGAGGACACGGAAGACAAGAACAAAAGAACAAAAGAATAGAGACAGATTACATACTCCTCAATCTGTGATTTCTTCTTGCCGGCTGCGGGCTCATTCATAGGCATTTTGATGGTTTCATTTGGCGAAGCGATGACAATTGATCGCATCGCGGAGTACTCGCTGCACATGTCTTTATCGTCGACTGTCCAGTAGCGATGGAAGTCGAGGCATTCCTCATAACTAAGGCTCCTTTGTTAGAGCGATAGTTCCAACAAGAACGACATGGATTCTACTCACTATTGGACAATGCTGTCCACTCCTCCCCACGACTGATTCCCGACACAATGATCAATCTCAAGAAGATTGATGGGTGGGAGAAGCTGTGTGATCGGGTCTTCACTATCGAGCAATCGATATCCCGGCAAGAAGGGAGCGCTCGCCGAATACTGTTCACGATTCACCAAAGAATGTACAGTATCCCCGTACGTCCCAACAGTTGCAGAGACGATCCACCCATGTCCCTCGACAGCAACCGTCCGCGGCTCGGTGATGGCGCGAGCACCGTTACCTACAGCCCGCTTCCATACAGCTTGCATATCGCCCGCAATCCGGAATGCGACGTCCTTCACCCCGTCACCATGTACGGTCAAGTGCTTATGGATCTCAGCCAGCGTCGTCCGCTCATAATTCGAAGCCTTGCGCAAGAGACCGTCTTCTGAGCTTTCGTTCGGCGGGCCGCAAACTGGCCCCGTGAGAACGAAAGTAGCGCCGCTGTTGGCCACAACATAGCTCACGAGATAAGGCGAGCCGGTTTCCGGGCCGCGGTATGCAATGGGGCGGAAGCCCATGCGAGTGATCCAATACGAGGCGGCTTGTTTGGGGTTGCCGACATACCAATGGATGTGATCGAAGCCGACATATTCGGGCCCCATCTTCGCAGGGAAGATATCTTCATTTTCAGGGACGGTCATGGTTGGTGCTGTTGATCGTGGCTGCGCTGGTATCGGTGTAGGTGTGAACCGAGACGCATGTCCTCCCTCCGTCAGCCCTTGGCGTTGGTATAAGTTGCGGTCAGGTTATTTTATGAGTGATTTTGAAGACAGCTAGGTCGGGGTTGAGGAGAAAAATAGAATACTGGTGAGGGGATCCCTGTCCAGACGTGTCACATTTGAAGCCCACATCTCCGGATCAATAGAGAGATGGCTATCTAATATAAACATATGAGGCAATGCTGAAGTCATTCATTCGTTCAAGCATGCTGTCTGTGCCGGCTGGTCTGATGGCCTCCTTCGGTGAACCTTGGGAGGTTCAAATTCGGGCCTGTATACCTGCAGGAGTCGAATTGATGTTTCCGCACACCACGAGGTCAATGCTGTGGAGAAAAGCCGCTGTTCTCCGTAGCAAAGCGAGAGGCCATGTTCAGTTGGGCTGGCCATGCATGTCACAACATTTCATCCAAGTCCTCCAAGTCCTGCGGTGTACACAATAGATGCCATCTCCAGAAGATCCCACCTCGTTAGTTTGTTCCATTCCAATGCAAAAAAGTAAAACCTTCAAGCCAACCCAATCAAACATTGGTCACGGGTTCCGGCCGACTCTTGAAGAAGATTTTATAGCGCACGATCTCCACAACCTCCAGTTCCTCGCCCTCCGACGGCTGACGTTTCCGTAGTACAGCAATTGGCCGCGGCAGTTTCTTAACTTCCCCAGTCATCCGCTGATACCGGCCGACATACATGTAAGCGCGCTTCATCCATTTTGTGTCGTCTGGGTTGTGGACCGAGTAGTCTGGAAACATGAGTTTTCCAATCGGAGTTTCGAAGGTGGCAGCCGGATTATCCGTAGATGTAGAGTAGTCTAAGTCATCTTCTTCGTTCCCTGAGGGGACATTAATTGTGCCCTGGAGCTCGAGAAGGGCTAGGCCCGAGGGTGTTTGAAGGAGTGTTGGAAGGGGATTGTTCGGAGTTGAGGCAGTTGTAGTCGCCTTTGCCGGAGTTGAGCAGTGTGGTTGTAGCTTTATGGAGGGCATGATGGAGTGTGCTGTTCAATTGGAGTTGAAGGAAGGAAAACGCGAACGCGGCACGCGTTGAGTATTTCCCCACATTTTTCTTATCGCGAGAAATGGCCGTGGCAATTAATTATTGGAATTACAAGCACATACTATATTTTATTTTATTTTATGAGTTGTAGAATTGGTGGGATTAGGAATATGTACATGGCTTTAGATGCACGTATTCTCAGTAGTCCACTATGGTTGTCCTGTCTCACGCAAAGTATACCTGGGTAGTCAAGACTTGGTCTAAAACCGGTGTCCAGAACCAAGCCAAGCGTTAAAACATTGTAAAGGTAACAGTGGTTGCAGATTTGCTACACGGTTAGGGCTTGAGCGTGGCTGGTGGACAGGAGCTCTGGCGTAATAGAAGAGTTCTCTCAAGCCCATGGTCCAGGTTCGTACTTGTATCGTAAGAATGTGATAGATGGCCTTTGCAAGAGAACAGCTTTCGTGCCCTCGCAAAGAGCAGAGAATAGGTAGCTTGCTTGACCCTGCAACATAGCTCCGAGGCAGAAAGTGGTGACAACACAGCACGAGTTCAAGATGAGAACGTAAAGCTCGATACTTCAATGCCTGGGCGAACTACCACACAACTCTCAAAAGCAAGATTCCGACACTGAAGCGCCCGTGATATTTTGCCTTCTTTCTGCATATCGATATGTTAGCTAAGGTCTTTTAATTGCCAGACTCAACATTGAGACCACATACTAATAGTTCAAGGGTGTTTGCTCAATTGCAAAGAACAAATGGGCACAATGCACAATGCACAATGCACAATGAGCCAGAAACATAACTCTCAAGAAGTGCTACTCTTATAGCAAACATCTTCAAGGTTCTGCAGGCCCTTGATCGCCTCACCAGCCACATCTTCAGCAGTCCCTGCTGGACCCTGTAATTTGCCGTAACGGAGATCGCTCATACCACCAACAGTCGTATCAAGTTGGGCCAAAATCTCCGCAGCCTCTTGATCAATACCGGCAATTTCATGCTCGATATTAGCGCTGGCTGTCTCCATTTCAGCCAGCAGACTAGCCACCGAATGATAATCTCCCGGCGAAGAAGTAGGTGGCTGACCGAACAGATGAAGGTCCACGTCCAACTCGCGCTGCTCTTCAGAACTTGAAGCTTCGACTCCAGTGGCTAGAATGGCTTTTCGGAGCTCTGCTCTCTGCCTTTCACCTTGCTTGATCTCGTTGTCGATGCTTTCATTAACTCGGTCCATGTCCTGTTCTCGGACCTGTTGCAGTTCCCGATACAAAGTCCTGATGTGTGGATGAGCCCTCAGGCGTTTTGGGAAGAGCTCTGTGAACTTTTGCAGTGACATGACTGTTGGTAGCGGAGCTGGTGAGAGCAGGAAATTGCTGAGGATGGACTCCTCGGAGGGAGGCATGATGAGTGTGTAGTGTGTAGTACACACAGTACACAAAGTACACACAAAAATATGAGAGTATAGTAGTTGTCTTTCCCCTGACGAGTGTAGGAGCTGTAGTTCTCCCGTTTGACGCGAACCGAAGCTGACAAGATTCACGTGAACAAAGAAAAAAAAGAATATGAAACAGAATGAAAATAGAAGAATTGAATTGATCAATAGTTCCCCTATTGTATTATTGTAATGAATAGAAAATGTATGAATAGTTGTCAATGTAAATGGTGACAATAGGCTGCCCGCGTCTAATTCTTCCAAGGGGCCACTCATCTTCGCTTGTTTTCCTTCTTCTTCTTCCACTCGACTCTACTTCATCTACATCTACATCAACCAACTACGCCAACCCATTCTCTCTTCTAAAGTCTTGATCATTTCTACTCTTCCTGAGCTGGTCTCTCGATCTAATCTTGTTCCTTCTTGCACCTTCTTCCACTTTGCTGAATTAGGATTTGCTGTCAAAAGCATCCTGTACTGCCATTTGTGCATCTTCCTCTTTGACTGTCTTTGCTTAAGTTTGCAAGATCTACTTGCAGGGTTACAATCTGTTGGAGTCCCTGAAGGCTTTCAGGGTTCTTCAGATCGTGGCTATTGCCGCTTGTATCACACCCTTTTCCCGCAAGACAAGGAAACATCCTGACATCTTCTCTACACCTTCGACCTTAAAGGTCTGCAATCTGTCCTATCAACTTCGATACGCACATCTTCTATCTTTCTCCGACAAAAATGGCTCCTATTTCCATGTATAGCAAGGACGAGAAGGTCCTCTGCTTCCACCATGAGATCCTTTACGATGCCAAGATCCTGGATGTTCGCCACAAGGACTCCAACGACAAGAAGAGCCCCTTTGAATATCAAGTCCACTACAAGGGCTGGAAGAATACGTAAGTCTGACTTGTTGTATTTCTTCCCCTGTTTCTTTGCGTCCTGGATGTCGTGTTGAGATTGTTCCCCCTCCAACATTTGAAATTTTGTCCGGCCCATTACGGAAGATTTGCCCTCGAACTATGCACTGCTATGCCAAAAATGCCTCTTGCTTTTTATTGCACCTGTTTTCTAAAAACCCATATGTATAAGATCATTTTCATGGAACAATTTGCTAACATTGGAACAGTTGGGATGACTGGGTCATGGAGGACCGTCTTCGCAAGCACACTGAAGACAACCGCGAATTGGCCAACAATCTGCGTCGCGAAGCTGAAGCTTCTTTCCGTATGAAGAACACTAAAGTCACTGCTAAGAAGCGTGCCGGTTCCGACCGTGACTCTGTGCGGGACAGCGAGGACTCCGTTCCCGGCCGTGGCACCAAGCGAGCCCGTGACAGCGAAATCGAAAAGGTATGCAAATTACCACATCTACTAAATTTGGTGCAATGGAACCAAAACCAAGAAGAAAAATGATCTATACCATTATGACTCCATACTAACAATATTCAATAGGAGGAGAGCTTCAACATCCGCCCCTCTGTCCGCATTATCATGCCCGACAACTTGAAGTCCCTGCTTGTAGATGACTGGGAACAGGTAACCAAGAACCAGTGCGTGATCTCTCTGCCGGCGAAGTACCCAGTCCGCCAGATCCTGCAAGACTGGCACGAGGAAGAGCTTCCAAAGCGGTCGGGCTCGTCGGCAGACGAGGACGTGCTGGAGGAAGTGGTTGCCGGGATCCAGGAGTACTTCGACAAGTGTCTGGACAAAATCCTTCTCTACCGCCACGAACGCCCCCAGTACCGTGGGCTACGCAAGAAGTTCGAGGCGGCCACCGGGGACCTGGCCGATAAGGGCCCCATCGATGTCTACGGAGCGGAGCACCTCATCCGCTTGTTCAGTATGTATCCCATTCTGGTTCATCTCACTTCCGGATTAACTGTGAGAGTTGAGAATTGTGCTAATGGTTGTGTTGGTGTAGGCACCATGCCTGAGTTGATTGCTCAGACCAACATGGACTTGCAGGCGACAAACCGCCTGCGAGAGGAGATCTCCAAGCTCTCCATGTGGCTGAGCAAGCACTCGGAGAAGTACTTCGCCACCAGCTACCAGCCGGCGGAGAGCACTCACTGAGTGCGGAGGGAGCTTTTCTTTTGGGGGGGGGATTTCTATCTTTTTTGTTGCGTGCGTTGGGGTGGGCATAACACCCTTCCAGCAGCAAACTTGTTCTTTTTTTTAATTACAATTTAAGAAGCGCGGCCTGCGGGCCTGGAATACAAATACTTTGCTTAAATGAACCTCAAAGAAGACGTAGAATATTTTCATGGGATTCTGAAGTCACAATACGTACGGTAGTTGAGAGATCGAGCTCTGACATCTCTATGATCTTCGTAGTTTTCAGATGCAAACAAATAATGACTTAACACGAGGAAGGAAGAAAATATGAATTTCTCAACTGGATATGTATTTTGATAGAAATCAGTGATACCACCGCTACTACCCAGTGATCTATCTACCTTTTCTGACACCACCCACAAACATATAGAATCCATATCAAGGCCCATGAAAGTAGAAAAAGAAAAGAAAGACCCCCATAACACGACACCTAAGCAACCAGTTGCCTAGCATCATCAACAGCGCACCGTGCCGCACGTTTCAACTCACTCTTCCACTCCGCCTCACGCCACTTAGCCCAAGCACTCAAACCCTCAGGCGGCTGAATACTCAAAGTATCATAACCCTGCTTAATGATACGGTGGACCTCACGCGGGGAGAGATTCTTCTTCCTAATCGACGGCAACGCCACCGGCCCAGGCTCATCAGGCTTGGGACTAGCAGCAGCAGTAACAGAAGCGGCGTCCGCGCCCTCCGAATGGAAGAGGAGGGTGTAGAAGTGAGTAGATACAGATTGGAGGGTGTCGATGGCTGCTGAATGCCGCTCGTTTTGGGAGATTGCATCAGGTGATTTGGAGGCTGAAACACCTGTTACTGCGTTATTGGAGCGGGACAATGCGTATGCATTGCGGAATTTGGAGATGATGGGGCCTGTTTCGACGAGCTTGTAGAAGAGGTCGTCGTAGGAGGCTGGGTCTGGGAGGAAGGTGTCGCCGCCCGAGACGCAGAACGCGATTAGGTCTGCGAGGGAGGTCGTGAGTGTTTGGATCTTGGGGTTGCTGGTTAGATCGGAGGCGTAGGTTGTTAGGAAGCGCATAAGGGAGAGCAGAGTCCGCCAGAGCTCGGACCAGTGGTAGGTGAGGCGGATCTTGTTCTTTGAGAGGTAGGTTAGGAGGCGGAGGGTGATTGCGATTGTGTGGCTGGGAAGATTGTTAGTTATGTCATGGTTAAAATGAATGTAGAAAGTGGAGGATTGTTTAATACCTGTAGATGTTGACGTCGAGGCGCCGGCGAAGGTTATGCGTAATAGTATCGATGGCGATATCAAAGATGACGGTTGCGAGGACCCGGTCTCCGCTGACTATGGGGAGGTAGGGCTGTTTCTGTCGACAGATGCGGACCTTACGCTTGACATTTTCGCTGCAAATTTGCTTGCAGATGGTTGGATCTTCGACTAGGATGCGAAGTGTAAACAAGTTTAGTTCGGCATATTGCCCGACCCGCGGGGATCGATATGCATGTTGGAGAAGATAGGAGGACAATGAAAGGAAGCTCGAGAAAGGAGACTCTGCCTCGTTGCTTTCTGGTTCCAGATGAACCAAATGATAACCAAAGAGCTTATTGGCGTTTGTGAAGTCGTATGTGGCCATTAGAATTGCGGCTTCTTGTGCCGGACTGCCAGAATCGTAAGTTTTGAATCAATGGGTTCTCCACGCAGAGCACTTACAGATCAGCGAACATGGCCTTCGCTTCTTCCGCCGAAGGAGGGTTCGCTTTGTCCCTGGCGCCAGGGGCGAGGGCTCGTAGTCCAAAGAAAATCAATGTGTTGGTCAAGCTCCAGCCCTCTGGAATGTCATCCTGGACAGCAATGTAGCCGTTTCGCAGGCGATTGCATGCCAGACCGACACCCTTGACAACTTTTTCAATATTTGACTCGTTCACAAAATCATCAAGTCGAAGCTGGTAGGGATTTTGGAATTCAAACTTGTTGTAGTTTGCCAATAGCCCCAGAAGGAGGAATGGATCGAACACTTGCAGCGGGGTATCGGAATCAGAGACATACTATTCGTAACTGTCAGTTATTTGCATACATAGAAGCAGTGCGATCAAATCAAACCTTCATAAGCGATGGGAAAAGATCCCGGTGTGTGAAATAGGAGACCAGGCTAGTTTTGTATGCGCCGCTGGTCATGGCAATGGCAGTCTTGATGGCCTTGAGCCGCACATCGACTGGAAAAATTAGGATCAACTGCCACGGTATTGGTTAAGAGCAGAACAGGCAAAGACTTACAGCTACTGCCATTTCGAATGGTTCTATCCAAGACGGCCACGAAGTCGGAAATGACATGGTCCACCTCGTCTAGTCCTGCAAGAACAGTGATGACATCCGAACTTGGATTTGTGTATTTCTTGCTCAGAATGCTTGTCAAGAAAACAGTCAATGTCTGTAAAACAAGGTTAGAGAATATGTCCCGGTCATTGATTTTCACGGGGTACTTACATCTAGTGCATAAGAATCCGCCGGGACGACCCCAGCTGCTGCCTCACGAATGGCACGGACAAAGAAACGCTGGGTTTGAATCTAGTAATTGCATTAGCTGTCTGTGTTGAATTTCTGGGACACTTCCTATAATGACTTACCTGTAGACCGATTGTATCGTCTGGGCTCAAATGGTCTAGGATAGCATGTAGTTGGTTTCGGTCTGGAGGTAGCAAAAAGAGTTCTCTCCAAAAGCCCTCCGAGGGGTCTGCATCATCTGGTGTCTATCAGGAGTATGTTAGTAAATATCAGACAAAAGCCATGTTTATGTCCCTACTTTGAAGAGATTCTCATAGAGCTGGACAATCTTAGGTTTGAAGGACTCGGGTCTACTCTGCTGGGTAAGGGGTGAGATGTCCATGGTATTAGATGAGAAGATCTGCAACGGTTAGATCGCCAGCATTGGGCCTCGGGTACCAAAAGAGTAAGGTTAAATTAAAGTCGAGTTGATTCAATTGCTTCGAAGTTCATGAAAAAGGGACACCAGCCACTTTGTCAGCCGATCCAGCCACATGTCCTCTACAGTTGGAAATATGTTTTACAATTTGGGATAAAAAGAAAAAAAAAAGTATGGCTTTTTTAGTATGTTATATATTTGTATATTAAACAGGTAGATCTATATAACCCATAATCTACATATTGATACTCTTCCCCGCCACATGACTGGATTGGATGTGGCATCCTCATGGGGGGTCAGCCAGGTCCCTCCGAGGAACGGAACTCTCCGCCAGTATATGATGACTCAGCTTCCGAAAAACGCATTGAATGACAACATTGGAAATCAATGTTGAGTTGTGAATTGGTGATTCTATAATTAATCTAACTATATTGTACTTTGGTATAAGGCAAAGTGGAATTCAAGTAAGATCTTTGATTAGTTAGTTAGTCTCTACCAATTCGAAATAACCTGGGACCTTGAGGAATGGCGCCACTGCTTACAATTGCCGATGTGTAGAAATTCATTAACGCTGATTGGCCGAATCTGCGTCATGCAACTACCTTACGTAACTAACTCGGGGCCACGGGGAGAATCCTCAAAACAGTCATTCTTCTTTCTCAACCTTTGTTAATCAATTCTTCCATCATCTTTCTTTCACACAAGATCCTATGACCCAATAGCAATTTTATTCGAGGCTCACTTCCATTTCACATTGATTGCTCCCCGACCATGAGCTTCTCTACCGCCATGCAACGTCCTGTGACATCATCCGCCACACTCCTCCGATGGGCAAAGCCCTCAGTTGGACGTCTACGCACTTTCTCATCATATGGAAACGCTCATCTATCCTCCAAACGGGACATGCAAACTGCAACCGCCTACCGTCCTCATTCACTCCCATCCTCTTTCCCGCCTCCTCGAAGCAGCGGCGGCGCCGACACTTCCATCTCAGCTGAATTCCCTCCTTCCGATATAAAATCATACCAAAACACATCACAAAACACATCGTCAAATGTGAGCCTACGGGAAGGCGAAGCGCAAAAATCGAAACCGACTTCCGCTTCTCCGGCCGCCCCCAAGACTTCCCCGAAGCCCCGTCGGCCGCTTCGGGCAAGAAAGGCAGCCATGAAATTGTCCTCGGTGGCCACCGAGCAGCTTCGGAAATTGATGGCGCAGCCGGAACCCAAGTTCATTCGAGTGGGTGTGAAAAACCGTGGCTGTTCAGGCCTCGCCTATCACCTGGAGTACGTGGAGAAGCCGGGAAAATTCGATGAGGTAGTCGAGCAGGACGGCGTGAAGGTCTTGATCGACAGCAAGGCTCTGTTCAGTATTATCGGTAGTGAAATGGACTGGCAAGAGGATAAGCTGAGCAGACGATTTGTTTTCCGCAACCCCAATATCAGTATGTGGCCCCTGCAAAAATTGCACCATTTTCTCAAGATTCGGTTTACTGACTCATCATCACAGAGGAAGAATGTGGCTGCGGTGAATCTTTCATGGTTTAAGCATGTTTAAGCACACAGCTTGAGCATTCCTTTTGATATGTTTCTTATACGGGACCTTTCGGCGTCTTTTTTTCTCGGTGCATCGGACGGCGTTTTCAAAGGGGGTTTGGGGATTCCACGACTACCCTTTTGTTTCAGTACATACGCTTGATATCCAGTTGATACCTTTATCTACTTCCCTTTCTGCTTTTTTTTTTTTTTTTTTTTACTACGCCTTGTGGTGGCTGTGGGCTCCTGTGGGCTCACAAGTTGGCGGGCCATGTCCAAAGACAGGCTAGAGGCTCAGCCAATGAACATTTGTCTCTTTTTTTTTTTGTCTGCAGAGACATTCCAAGGTTCTTTCAAACTGTATAGATTAGTCCGAAGGACATTGATGATGACATGTGACATAACTACCATACTTACCTCACAAAAATCACAAAAATCACCATAAACCTACTTCCTCGAGCACTATGTTTTCCTTCCTATTAGTCTTTCAGGATTGCAGAAAAGCGATAGCAAATGTATACAGTTGTTTAGAGAATGTGTCACCTGACGCATATGGCCCAGAGACTCCGGAATGGGGTAAGCACCACATCTCCAACCTGAAACACACCAGTCATTGGTTTTGTATAGAGCGACCTCAATCCATTCCATATAAAGCACAATATTACCTCTTACCTAAAACATGACCTCACCCTTCCTTTCTCCACACGGAGTAGGCGAACCAGACACCGACCTGCTCCTCATCACCGTTCGCTTCTCCGCCTCAATCCCCGATCTCCAACTAGACGTCCCAGAGCCCGAGACCACAACAGGCGCCGGCCTAAAACAACTAGTCCGAGCCGAACTCCCTAAACCCTTATCATCCCACCGACTGCGTCTCATCTACGCCGGCCGCGGCCTCGAAGACACAACCGCCTTAGCAGTCTCACTAAAGCTCCCGCCATCACCAAGCCGGAGCCCTCGCCCCACAGCAGACCAACCCGAGACCCCAGACGACCATGGCAAAGGCAAGCAGGCAGTGCGGGATACCCGTCCACGCCTCTACATCCATTGTTCGATCGGTGACATCGCGCTCTCAGAAGCAGACCTAGCCAGCGAAGCAAGCGTGTCATCAACAGTCCTTCTACAACAGAAGAAGCAGCAAACCAACAACGCAGGCAAGAAATCTCCAGCGAAGGATGTCTCGTCTCTACCCTCCACATTTGCACAACCTGGCCCCCAATACCAATCACAGCCCCAGTCCCAGTCGGCTACTACCACACCCGCACCCCGCGGCTTCGACCGCCTCCTCTCGGCGGGCTTCACGGCGGCTGAGGTCACTGCTCTGCGCTCCCAGTTCCTGGCCATGCAGTCTGTCTCCCGGACGCCGGATACTATGCCTACTGGGGACCAGCTGCGGGATCTTGAAGACCGCTGGATGGATGAGGGGTCGACGGCGGCGCAGGTGCAGGGTGGTCTTGGTGGGGAGGGTGGAGTTGGGGAGGATGAGGGTGGGATTGGATCTGGATCGCGTGGGGCGATTGATGATATGCTTTGGGGGGCCGTTATGGGGTTCTTTTGGCCTGTTGGCTGTGCGATGTGGTTGCGCAGAGAGGAGGGGGTTTGGAGTTGGAGGAAGGGGGTTGCTGTTTGTGTGGGTGTCATTGTTAATGCTCTTTTTGGGGCGATGAGGATTATGAACTAAGGGTGTTGGGATATGTATATTACTTTTCTTTCGTTATTTGGTGTTATGAGATACCCCCCCAATTGAAGCTATTTGGTACTTGGCAATAAAGACTTGGGACTTGTTTGGGCTGTTAACCGTCGTATATTAGAGACCGGATTTGCTTGGAGCAGAGACTTGGATCTAGCAGTATCAAGACTTGCCGGATGCTATCATACATAATGACAAAGATGCGAGAGACACAGAGAGAGGCAGGCAATAGCCTTGCTGGTGTAGACGTAAGAGCAAAAATAAAAGGACATGAAAGATAAAGGCCGAGTATACAACGCCAGCGTCAGACCCAAGCGCTAATGGAACTTGCCATAAATGACAGCGAAAATCAAAAGAACCAGAACCGTAATGATAGCAATAGTGATCATCCGATTCGTAGCCATCCTAAACAACACACGAACAGTCAGCAACCACGTCCAGATCAAGTTCAGAACGAGACAAAGGGGAGTCAGTACCTACGGGCCATGCCCCTCAAAGTCTTGATACTAGTGTCGACATAACCCTCACTCTGCTGCAAGTTATTCCGAGCATTCGTGATCTGCTCCCTCTGCTCATACAGGGTGCCGAGGGTGCCGCGAGCAACATCTTCCGTCTCCAGCGCCATGCGCTGGCTCTGCTGCAACCGCGCGGAGCTGCGCTCTAGTCGGTCCGTGCCGGAAAGCAACTGCTGTCTTTGTTCGAGGTGTTCATCCTGCGGCTCGTCGGTGTACCGGTCGCCGAAGAGTGCCTGTCGGTCATCCGAGAGGGACTTGAGCTTGCGCTTGACCTCGTCGATGTCGGTTGAGTAGTTGCGGAAGCGGATGTTGACTTTTGACCGGGCTGCTGAGGGGATGTTCTGCTTCTCCATGCGCATCTGGTCGAGCTAGATAAGGGTTGATTGGGTTAGTTTTGGTTGTTCTTGCGATTGTCCGTTATTCTTGCATTTTGGCGCATGAAGACAGCTTGAGGGTCTTGATGGACTCACCAGTTCTGTTGCTTCTTCGAGGACTTGTGTTGCGATGCCGATTGCTGATTTCCGTTGCTCGCCGCTTGCCTCGGCGATCTGGTCCAGCTTCTGGTTCAGATCGGCTTGTACCAGCTTCAACTCGTTCTCGTAGCTGGCGAACATCTCCGACCCGGCGTCTGTCTCCAGTGGGTTCGACATTGTGATTGTATGATATGTGATCTAGTTTAGGTGGAAGTGAAGATCCGCTGTCTGCAATGGTGGTTGATGTGTTGATGTCGGCTCCACCTTTATCTGGGGCGGGTGACGCTGTTCAATGCTGAGTGGCGGTCCGATCGGATCTTGTTATGGTGGTCTCGCTTTGCAAACTAGGTGGACTAGCCTTCCCGGAGTATTAGGGAATATAAAGAGAAAATAGTTTAAAATAACCAAAGGTGCTGATAGGATTAACAAACGTTGGAACAGGAACGGGTGACGGTGAGACACACGTGATTCATCCCGGGGTTGCATTTGCGACATCCGATGACCTCTACATCTACACTTTGGGTCTACAACCATTTATCTTCTTGAAGTTGCAATAAGTTAGAAATATAATTTGATACATAGCATTAGCGTAACACCAGGCCCACACAAAACAATTCGCCTTTTCAATAAACATCCAAGATACCCCTTTGGTATACAAGATCATGGAACATTCTCAAGCCTCATAGTCATTCATGACAGGAAATTCTTGCTGTCTTGACCAAGAATGATTGCGCTGCGCTTGGCATCCAGGAAGAGGTCCTCGCATTCAGCAACATCGGCCTCTTCGATTGCACCGGGGCGGCCGTTGACGCGCGAGAGAATGCTTGCAGGGGCCAACAGCTGCAGGGCATACCGCAAGCTGACCTTGCTGCCATGATCAGAGACCTTGTTCAAAGCAGGTTCTGTGATACTGAGGCCTTCAACCTTGGCGCGCAGCCGGATGATAGTCTTAATCTCCTCGGGGGCGTAGGGGTTGGTGGGGATGATAAGAAGGCGGGCAAGCAGATCAGGGGGAATACCGTGTGCGGCACTGATTTCGTGGGTACCACGGATAACGGTGTGGCCACGGTTGGAGGCGAGGATGACGATCGGGGAGATGGTCGATTCGAGGGCACGGTTCAGATATGTGAAGCACTCAATGTCGAGCATATGTACCTAGAGAAGAAATGGGGTTAGAGACGTGATCCAATAATTCACAGGATAAATTTATCGACGTACCTCATCGATGAAGAGAACACCGGGAACCAACTCCGCGACACCCTGATCAATGTACCGGTTGACAACCTTGTTGATTTCCTGGCGCAATTTGTCCGTGATTTCCGTCTTCTTGGGCTTCATCAGCTGGCCCATCATGCTCATCACGTCTTGTCCGCCCTGGGGTCGGGCGTTGGCCATATCCAGGTCGTGAAGGGTCACATCCTGAACAATCTCCTTCTTCTTGTGAACCTCGCCCTTGGGGACAGGCACATACTCCTCAGCCTCGAGATCGAATTCGGTCGCATAGGCATCCGATCGTCCGACTCGCTTGCATGAGCCGGTGTTAGCTTCAATGTAGATGACGTCTCCGACTGTGACACGCTCCTTCTGGATGGCTTCGTAGATGCTAGGGTCCAGGCGCAGCTTCTTGGAGCCCTTAGCGGACTTCAATCCGATGATCAAATGGCTAATTGTGCGCCCGTATCCGCCCAGTGGGTTCTCGGCCTCCTCGGGGGTAAGCTCAGTCACTTCTCCCTCATAAACTTCCTTTGTTTCGCGAACACGGAGGCCTATCATACGTTAGCTTGGATATCCACGCTTGTTGCGCTTCTCCTAATGTCGCATTGCATACCAATAGCTCTCCGGAAGTTCTCCATCAATGCCTCGGTCTTCTTGACCTCTGCAGAATAGATCTCGCTGCCAACAATCGGACAGAAAGGAACCTTGGTTCCCAGCTCCTGTGATACAGCAAGAGCCAGAGCAGTCTTTCCGGTACCAGGGCCACCAGCAAGCAGGACAGCTCGTCCAGCCATCTTCTTTGACTTGATCAAATCCACCACAACACCGCATGCCTGCCCCATTGTTTAATCGTTAGTTATCGTCACTGCTAGCCAGATACCCTGGTGGATTCAGTGTTGCCATCCACTCACCTCACGGGCAGCTCCCTGTCCCACGAATCCATCTGCATTGCTCTCCGGAGTTCCATCAGAGCGTAAGCCTAGACCCCGAATGTGTGTATGCGCTGCGGTCCTGTTCTCGCGCGAGTTACCCTTCACTTCACTGATCTGGACCATGTTTGGGAGAGGTGTGGCCGAGTAGAGCCACAAATATTAACGGAAGATAAGTCAATGGGTTGAGAAGAAGGAAGCAAAAATAAATCAAAGCTTCAAAGGACTAGCTTAGATAGAAAGAAGAAAGGTAACGCGATGGTTCTCTGTGAGATATGCTTCTGGCCGAAATTCGCGAGCAAGGATCGTCGAATGAGAACGCCGCCCCCAGGGCGGTGAGCTGCCCCAAATTCTTTCCCTGTTGGTCCTCTCCTCCGCCTGTTGTCTATAACGACTTTCCGGCTCTTTGCATTCTCTACATTCTGCGAGAGTCCGTTACCTGTCAAACAAAATGGCAGGACTACACGCCAGATCTGCAATGGCCGCCCCCTTCTCTTTGGTCTCGGCCTTCCGCAGTCTTTCCATCGCCACACCAAAGCGAGCCTTCTCAACAACGCCGGCAACGCAATCAGTTCCGAAACTACCGGAAACCGCCCCGGTTTACCCCTACGGACCATCCCAATGGTACAAGCAGGCTGACACCGGTCTCTACGGTGGCGCTTCGATCCGATTCGGTAACAAGATCTCCAAGGGACGCAACGCAGGCAAGACACGACGAAGCTGGAAGCCCAACGTGCGCCGAAAGAAGATTGAGAGCGAGGCTCTGGGCGAGCCGGTGTTTATCAAGGTCACTCGTCGCGCATTGCGATCAATCTACAAGGCTAAGGGTCTAGACAACTACTTGCTGTCTGATCGGCCAACACGCCTCAAGGAACTCGGTCCTTTCGGATGGAACCTTCGACACCAGGTTATGCAGACCCCAGCGATTAAGGAAAAATTCGCAAAGCAACGCAAGGCCTTTGGCGTTCCTGAACCCCCTTCAATGGGCAAATGGATGCGGGACCACAGGCTGGAAATCAGGAACAAAATCGAAAACCTGGACATTGACGCAATGACCAAGCCTCGCGCTTCTCGGCGAAGCACCCAGTCGTATGCTCGTTAGAGTAGCTTGTACGAACTTGCGTGTCGAGGGGAATGAACAGGCGCTTGTATCACTATCCTGAAGAGCGATGGACGGTTTTTTGAGCACCATGGATTTTGTGCCATCTTTGACGCTATCTCGTTTCTCGTGGCGGAAAGGACGGCCACAGCTTTCTAATTTGGGTGCGGTCTCTTTTTTCAATTTGCATATTGGGTTTTCTGTATTATACTCCAATCTTACTTCGTGTTCACTTCAATGTTGTCAAGACGTTTTGACGTTTCATTTAACTATATTTTTACGCCAAATCCATAACAGGTTTGTATAAAGGAAATATAGTACTTTATCGAAATTAAAATTCTGCCGAACCAAAAAGCAGTGGATACATGAGCGTCTCATCATCAACCTCATAACCACTGCCAATCCCGTTCTCAAGTGGAGAGAAGGCTTGGGCACCGATGCCAGCCATCGATCCAGTATGAGTTGGTTCATGGAAAAACGGACACTCTTCGGAGCACATGTGACTTCCTAGACTTCCAAGCATAGTTTGGTCATGCGATGCCGGCAGTGGATGGTGGAATTCCTCATCTAGACTCCTAGGGAAATCCTCCGTAGTCATCTCGCGTATCATGCGCAAGACACCCCGATGCATGATTATCGACGTGAGCAATGCCATCTGGGATTGGATGTAGGAAGCAGACTCCGCCGAAATGCGCCTAGGTGGCGGGTCTTCCTCTACCGTTCCGTATATTGGAACTTCTTTGGCTAGAACATCGAAGACATCACGCAGAGGTTCGGCCTGAACCCATCTCTCAGCGAGAATGGCCAGCGCAGTTGAGCAGGCGCGTAATGCGTCTGGGACTTCTCGTGATCGATAGGCGATAGTCTGATGTCGAGGTGGAGTCGCCCAGAAGCAGTATAGAAGGGTGATACCTACGGCAACTTGGCTCAAGAGCTAATTACCAGATTGGGTCAGTTGATGAGAAGAATACAAGGTTTTCGAGTACATACCCCAGGCCATAGTTGTGCTGTCTGTCGGTCTTTTTGGAAAGTCCTAAATGTCATAGCAATCTGAACACAGGCTGAGATTGATCGGTCTCCAAAGCCATTACAGACGTTTTCTTTGGTTGGCTGGTGTAACAGGAGGATCGTGTAGTTGTAAGCCATGCCAACCCATCTATCGCTCGTGTAGCTTTTGGAGGCAACATCGCTCAATGGCCGTAATTGAGACCTCCAGGAGTCCAATTCGCCCAACATGTGTTCTCGCCATGTTGTTGAAGCATCGATTTCTTTGAAATCAGATCGCATCATGGTGCTGATGATCCGGGATTGTATACGCCTGCATCGGAATAGGTGAAGGGCTGGTGAGACATGTGTTTTCTGCGATGGTGTTTCTATTCGAATGCGGCTATCCTCTGATCCTTCGTGGTAAAGGTCCGCATCTCCGACGTTTGAAAAGAGCTACCCTTGTCAGTATTTTCAATGTCCTCCCCAGATGCAGATCCTAAGATGGGGTTATTGAGAAATGACCTACCTCCACGCTAATATGTTCATCAATGATATTGTTTGGAATGTGATAAATCCAACTTATAAATCGATCCAAAGCATAAGCTGACCAAAACACTCGACGGCGGGTTTGGACCTCCAAGGAAAACGCAGGATTCTGTACCTGTGGTTCGCTCTCAGCTAAGTGAAGTTGGGCCATGACACAATATCTCATCATTGCAGAGACAATAGTGACAATCATCTGTGATGATGGAGAATGAAGTGCATGCAGAGTCAGAAGGAGATATGCCTGGGCATGTAAAATAGAATCAGGTTGCGCGAAAACGTGGGCAAGATATTGCATGGCAGTATTGTACAAAGACTAAGTTGTTAGCCTTCCCTTTGGTCGTAGATATAGTATTTGATACGCACTTACTTGAGACGTAGCAATGTCATCGACCGAGACTCGAGGTGTTAAAAGCAGGGCAACAGCATGCACCTAGTGTATAGAACATTAATATAAAATCGGAATAACGAGTATATTTGATGCATACCATGGTTACAAAGTAGTCCTTCCATAAAAACTGCTGATCTCTCGCCTTATCCATCTGCGAATGAGCCTTCCAAGATTCATACCAACTAAGAAAAGTAGCGAGATGAAGAAAAGGATATCGTGGGTTGACTCGTTCCAAATATATTTGAACCAAACCGTCAGATGCCTCATTTGAAAGCCGCGGGACACGATCTGCTTGTAATACCTGGTCCGTAGATTGAGAAAAGTTGTGTGCGTTTGGACTTTCAGACTGTGTTTGGGGGAATCCAGAGAAACCAGTGGTTGTGAGAGTAGCTAGTATGCCAACCAACAGGCTGGAATGTCCACATTGGCCATGAGGATCTGGAAAACCCTCCGCCGCATGGGGGTATGGCAAGGCCAGTGATGGGCACGGGGCCAAATATCGCAGTTGGCTAGAGTCTGACGAGGTGCCGCCCTGAGGCATACTACGAGAGTATGGTGGCCTTGATGCAAAAGAAGCCAGAGAAACACGGTCTGTTTCATTGCCTCTTTGATGCAGAGATTCCTGCGTACGTGTTCTCCGGCTGACAGAGAGACTTGCTGGCCTCTCATCTGGAATTTGAGACTCGAGGTCTATAATTCTTTCTTCGAGTGATCGGGTGTATCTATAAAAGCAGTTAGCAAAGTACTTGTGGCATGGTTGATTTGACCTACTCAGTACTAACACGAGCCTTTCGGCTCACCGGCTCAGTTGAGATGCATTCTATACGACGTCAGACAAGATTGCCTTGTTTCTTTTTTCATTATATATTTACCCTTATCCGCTGCTGTGCAATTATCACACGGTCTGCTTCCAGTGCACTGGCGTTGGTTAATTTTTCTGCGATTCAAGGCTGTAATCGAGTACACTCACCTTTTGCTTTCGTGACCGACACCGTCGACAAGCCAGAGCTTTCTGCCTCTTTCTAGATGGTGCTACTTTGTTTCTTTCCATTCGGACACGGCATTTGGTGGCTCACTGAGTGTATCGGACTGAAATATCCGATGCCAATTCCGGTTTGGCTCCATCTATCCACGTGACTAAATATTTAACAGAAGGAAGAAGACTGAAACTTTGTTATTTTATCTTTGGCTTCATTTGAGTATGTTTATAGAGATATCTGAACCAATTATATTCAAGGCTAAGTTCAGACCATTGGAGAAATTGCCATGCAAGCCCATCGGCATGCCAAATTCCGTCGGACATTACAGTCTCCGAAAAGAGTCCGAATGGAGTAGTTAAAATGCTGAGAGGGTGACAACTTATTTTGACTCCTTTCAACCTTCGCTTTCGAAATATTTCACTAGTATAAAGAAGGCTGCACTATAATGCCTCAGAAAATCACCGTTGCTGTGGCGCAAGCCCGCACTCTCTCTACACTTGAGTTGACCCTCGCCGCTCTCAAGAAAACCACCCAGCATGCAGCTTCAAAAGGTGTCCATCTCTTGCTCTTCCCAGAAGCTTATCTAGGCGGGTATCCTCGTACTTGTGACTTTGGAACTGCTGTTGGCGCACGTGCCCCCTATGGGCGGGACCAATTTGTTGAATACTTCCGTGCTGCCGTTGACCTGGGCGATACGCCTGCTGGAGCGGGAGATGACTGGGTGGGGCGCAAGCTGCCTGTAGCTCAAGGTCGAGACCACCGTGGTGATGGGACAAGAGAGTTCCTCGAGCGGGTGTCCCGCGAGACGGGTGTCTTTATTGCAACTGGGTTGATTGAAAAGGCCGGGGGGAGCATGTACTGCTCCGCGCTATATGTCGATCCATTGCGGGGTGTTCTGGGGAAAAGAAGAAAGGTCATGCCAGTAAGTACCTCGTCATTGATTTTTGCTGTGAAACGTAATCGATTTGATCTGGCATTGAATGCAATACATTTATAAACTAATGCTGACCTCAATCTGTTGAAAAAGACTGGCTCAGAACGTCTTGTATGGGCACAGGGCTCCCCTTCTACTCTGAAAGCTATCACTACGGAGCTCAATGGAGTCAAGCTTACTATTGCCGCTGCTATCTGCTGGGAAAGCTTCATGCCTTTGCTTCGTCAAAGTCTTTACTCACAAAATGTGAACATCTACCTCGCACCCACAGCTGACAGCCGTGATACTTGGCTACCTCTCATGCGGACTATTGGTGGTGAAGGCCGCACTTTCGTGCTCTCTTGCAATCAGTGCGTACGCTACAATGAGCTACCATCCTGGATCACTGATCAGGGTAAAGCTACTGAAGGTACGTGATGTATTATTCACTGAAGTGTTCAAATGACTCATGGTCTCTTAGAATCTCCAGATCGCTATATCTCGCGTGGTGGCTCCTGCATCGTCGGACCCTTGGGTGAAGTTGTGGCTGAGCCTATTTGGGAAGTCTCTACTGACGATGCAGCTGATGGCTCCAGCATCGAAAATGGGCTTGTGATTTCCGAGATTGACTTGGAGGATTGTGAGCGAGGTCGACTTGATATGGATGTTGCGGGAAGCTATTCAAGAGATGAATTCCGGTTGACGGTTGACGGGTTGGACTTGAACCCTCCTCCGTTCTAGGAAGCAGGGGGAAGCAGTGTTGTTTTACACTGTCATAACGCTGAGAAATCATTTGGGTCTATATAGAAGAGTCAACAATGTATATAAGGGATGCCTCGGACATGTACTAGGGCCGATCTATAAAATACATCAGACAACATTGAAAATATTTTTAATTTTTTCATAATTCCTGTCCAATAAATACTGTGCTATTGAGCCAATCGATAAGTAATACACACCTTATCCCTAATTATCTTCAATATCCTAAATATAAATTCGCACTGGATGCGGGATCTCCAAATGGAAGTTTGTTGGAATGCGGCCAGAAGGTGGGCCGCATTCGGACGCCACATCTCGGGATCTTCGCACCCGCGTCGATCTTCAAGTCTCTTTCTTCAAGTCTCGACTTTCGACATTGCCCCTCTCTCTGATTATGATCTGATTTAATCCGAAATACTGTCCCTGTTTGTATAATCTCACAATAGGGACGAGTCCACGCCTTCATGCAGTTCGCGTTACCTCCGCGGCGGAGCCCGCATCCTCTACCTTCCTCTCGAATGTCATCCTATCGCAGGAAACAATTAAAGTCGTTCGCTGTCCTGGCACTCGCAATATTATCCCTAATATATCTCCTCCAATACTTCTATTCCTCAGCCTCTACGTCCGTTGTCGCTCCGGTGGGGACTTCTGGTGTGGTAATCGTCACACTGCTAGATCGTCAACGATACAGCGATAGCTATCTCAAAAAGATCGTTGCAAACCGGGAGGATTATGCCAAGCGTCATGGTAAGAAAATCTTCTGTGGAATATTGTAGAAGAGCTTCGTTCGCAATGAACTTGATCTAACTCTCACGCGGGAACAGGCTACACCAACTTCTTCGCAAGTGCATCGGATTACGACGAAGCCGTTGGCGATGCCCCAATGAGCTGGGCGGTTGCACCAGCCATGCGCCATGCCATGGCTACATATCCTCGCTCGGCATATTTCTTCCATCTCGCGACTAATGCTTTGATCATGAACCCTACCAAATCCCTCAAGTCTCACATTCTGGAGAAGGGCCGTCTGGATGACTTAATGATGAGGGATGTGCCCATTGTGCCGCCAGATAGTATTATCAAGACGTTCGCGCACCAGAAGGAAAAGGACGTGGACCTTATCATCACCCAAGACAGCGAAAATCTGAACCCCGGAAGCTTCATTTTGAAGAATGGAGAATATGCCCGTTTCTTTCTAGACGCCTGGTTTGACCCGCTTTACCGCAACTATAACTTCGCTAAGGCGGAGACCCATGGACTGGTAAGACAAATATTTTACCCCATTACTCTCTATCTTTATAAAGATACAGCTTGAAGAGCCTTGATACTGACCTTAATTCTGCTAGGATCACATCATGCAGTGGCATCCAACTGTCCTTGCCCGAGCCGCGTTGGTCCCTCAGCGCATTCTGAGCTCCTATAGCAATGGCTCTCCGGATGCTTCTTTGGATGGTACCTACAAGGATGGTGACCTCGTGATCCAATTCCATGGGTGTGAAGATACAGAAGGCCGGGACTGTTCTCACGAACTAGAGCCATATTATAAGATATGGGAGAAGAAGACACAGAGCGATTAGACAGGCTGAGGCCCAAGAACTGTGTTCTTGAAGTGGCGCTTGTATTTAGGAGTCCACTGTTTCCACGTGGGGGGAATGGCGTTTTGCTTTGGATCTTTCTCTCGTTCACGGGTACTGTTTTAGGGTTGGTCAGCGTTTGGTCGTGGAGACTCCAACATATGGCGTATTTTTTTTTGCTTTCAATTGGCATGCATAGCTGCAAAAGGGACACGATAATCATTCATTTTTAACTATGTCCAATGCTAAGATAATACATCGTCTCGTGATGTCAGTAATTAGCGCATACCGTTTATCATGACAACTAGGGTTGCTCGATAGGCTGCCTGGGACTTTTTTTCAAGCCGTCAACAAAGGCAGTCTGATCGCTTGCTATAATTTTCTTTCTCTTCTCCCGAGGTCCATCCACTCAATGACTCAGCTCAATGCCATAGGTAGCATATGGGATAGCCAAATACCAAGCCTGGACTTGACAATTCCGCCAACTTCTTAGGCAAGGCCAGGGAAGATGACAGCGCGCTTCTTCTTATACTTGTCACCAAACTCCTTGCGGTAGCGCTTCTCCTTCTTCCAACCCCAGCTCCACATCTGCAACCCACCAACAACAACGAAGAAGAGTACACTCCAGTTCAACTGACTGACAAGGAAAATACCCAACCAAGCCAGAATCTCAAAGAAGTAGTTGGGGCAGGTAACGACGCTGAAACCGAATCCAGACGGAATGCCGCGCTCAGTAGTACCAGGCCGACGGAGATTACGCAGGATGTAGTGAGCATTCAGATTCGCCAGCTCACCGAAGACAAACAGCGCCAGTCCGGCATACACAAGAGCCTGGTTGGGAGTACTGGTGGCGGCAGCCGCGTCCGGGCGGAACACCCAGTAGGCGATGTTGAAACCGGCCAGAACCCAGTAGTGGGCGCTGTTCTTGACGATGTTGCGGGCGGGCATGGTGGCGCTGCTGAAACGGTGGACAAAGATTGTCTCGAACTCGCGCTTCAGGAAGTGCACGGAGAGCAACGTGCAAACTAGGAGCTGGAGGTCTGAGGGGGAGGGGAGGGGCTTGTCGAAGGTGAAGTATAGGAGGGGTCGGAGTGGGAAGAGGAATAGCGCGGGGATCAGGAGGGGCCCGAGGTATTCGATGATGAAGACGGTGCGCCAGGCGATTTGGGGTCCTGTTGTGTTGAAGAAATATAGTTAGTTTTTTGTTGGTTTGGAACAGTGTGCTGATCCTAGGGGTTGGATTCGCATTGTCCGTGGTATGGGGTATAGACACGCACCGAGATCCTTGACGTAGATCACGCTTGAGTTTCGCAGGCCAGTGTCCTCGATGATCGTGTTGATCGAGTTGGGGACCACGCTGTGGTCACTACCTTTGGTGATTCTCATTCGGTGGACTGAGCAGCCGGATGCTGCGGAGAGCGCAGTGTGCAATTCTTCACTGGAGGCATTGAGAGGAATCTCAATTTCCTTGGGGAGCTTCTGAATGGGCTTGCCTGCGTTTAGATTAGCGATGCTTTCAGACTACTCTCTTTGTGGCCTTGCTGAGAGCTTTGGGCAAACAAGAGCTATGGATGCATACCCCTTGGCTGAACGACGAGCGTAATTTTACCAGCCGCCATGATGATAACTTGGTTCAAGCAGAGATAATGCTTCAATTATGGACCTTATTTGAGACCACCAAAAGAACTGGAAATCGCGACTGGCCAAAAAAAGGTGCAGTCCCAACAATCTACAAGTTGGGCCTCGGTTGACATCACGTGTTTGACGCCTGAGGCTAAATATCCGAAAATCCAATATTTGTGCATTCCTGTCATGCGTTCTAAGGCTGCTTTGGCAGCTTACTGAGGTTGTACAGAGTGCTACATGCGATCTTTGTGTCTTGGCTTTTTCACGCTATGTCATGTTGCTCCGGATAATCTCTTCTGCACTCACTTCACCTTAGAAATTGGACTAACATGTCCGCCCATGGCACATGTTCAATGCAGTATTTCAGAAGGCAACCAACCGTGAATTCCATTATCTACTGGGATAACAAAGGTTATATAGTTATGCACTTCGTACATAGCCTCCCAAGTCATTTGGCCGTTCAGCTGAAGCAACCCGCCCCCCTTGGAAGCCAACGGGGCACAATATGCATTATAGTGGGGCATAAGGGTTGTAAGGCAGTGCTGGGTTTTGTGGGAGCTGAGAAAAACGAGCTACTGTCATACACAGAATGGTAACGGTCGAATCAGAATCGAATGATATCGCCTTGTCTACCCTGTCGGTCTCAGCTCCATCTTGCACGGTTAATCTGGCCGAACAGCATCACCAATCAAACGTCGCAACCGGGACAACCCACAGAAGACCTTCCATTGTTAATGTTGTTAGTATTATTTTCTCCAAGAAAACATTATTTTTGCAGAGCCCGAGGATGTTGCAGATCTTCGGACCCATCCAGCCGCTGTCATTGCTCCAATCACATTGTGCGGTTTAGACCACATCCCCCCCTGCGAAGCTACTAAATCAAACCATTGAATGTGCTAATATAGCCTCATGTCTATCAAGTTAGCTAGGTAGTCGTATTCCGGGTTATCCGCCAGTCATTTAATTGGTCTAGGCACAAATGCCATAAGACTTGACAGGGGAGAGTCCGTATAACATGTACGAATCAGAGATATCCAATTGCTCACAGCAGCTAGTGGGGTGTTCCTCTTCACCCAGCTCCACCTTGCGCTAAGAATGACCACGAATGAATGCGCGCCTAGACTTTTAGAGTGTGAGATGTCCTCAGCCGTACGCTCTGCTCGCCTGATGGCTCTCGGCTTACTCCGTGATTCCCCACGGGAGGCTTATTGTAATCATATATCCTATCCCATTTCCGCCGAAATGATCGCATGATAATTCACTACTTCTTTTCCAAACTATCCTAACTACCTGTGATTGGTATACTATAAACTGACTTTGAGTTGTTCCTAAGCTTTCCTCCACCTTATTGCCTCGACATTTCAGCCTACCTGACTTTGTTTAACATATACCGGTAAGTTACCAATCGCTATATTATTGATTGTTATTATTGTCTTCCTTTTGCTCGACCTCTACTTTGTACTGTTCGGCCCTAGCTCAAGGTCTTCTTAAAACCTTTAGTCGGAAAATACATGTATCACCCGGCTGAAATCTATGACATTGGAGTTAACGTGTTAATCACAGTTCACAATCGAATTCTGCACTATACCATTGTATTATATCGTCAATTCACCATGTCTGAAGAGTCCAATTCCAGCAGCAAACTTGCTCAGATCGAGCAAGTTGTGACTGCAGCCTTGCGGCCCTTGCCCACTCAAACTGGTGATGGCAGCTATGTACAAGAGCCAACTGTGACGGGCCTTGCTAAGGACCTACTCCATTTTGACCTGAATGATGCCAAAACTT